GTTGTAGATTTCCAAAAACTTTTATTTAACTTTCATTTAAAAGCTATTGATTTAAATAAGTTTTTAAACTATTAAATTTATCTAATGATTAAAATTAAATATAAAATAAGATGAACAATAATATGAATATTGTAAAAAAGTTTAAAAATTTTTTAAATACTTAAGTATTTAAAAAGTTATATATTCAAATATATTTCTTCAGAACTTATCGTTTAAACCATTTAAAAAGGGTATTTATATAGGGATGTAGGCAATTAAAATAGATAAAATTTTCAATGAAATTTAATAATTTGTTTATTAAAACTGCAAAATTGTCTTTGGTTCTTGATTTTTATCTACTCAGGTTCTCTCTACTTAGGCCTGTAGCAACCGAGTGGGCAACAGGGACATTTGCCCCCCCCCCCCCAAAAAAAAAAAAATTTTATTTTAAATAAATCATTTTGAAGAAATTGACTGAAAAAATCACTAAAAAAATTTAAAAAAAAAAAGGTCCTTAAAACTATTTCAGGGTAGTACTGCCCTCTCCCCCCCCCATATAATTTTACTGCCCCCTCCCCCCCCCATATAATTTCCCCCCCCCCCCATATAATTTTTGTCCTACAGCCCTGCTACTATACTGCAGCCGTTTTTAAAAACGCCTTTAGGTAAAAAGATCAATTTTGACTTTTTTACAAAATAAGCTAGTTTAAATGTCTACAAACATTATTGAATACATATTTTCAAAGAGTTCTAAAAAAATTTATAAAAATTATTTGTTTCAAAAAGCATTTTACAAAGAGTTTCTCCTAATAATTTTTTTTTAATTGCGTTTTTTTCAAAATACGTAATAAGCATATTAAGGCGTTTTGAAAAACAACTGCAGTATATCAAACAAAAAAGAGAAGCGATTTAAAAAAGAAAACTTTAGAAGATAGCTCATAATGAAACAAGTTGAATAATTAAAATTAAGCATTTATAAAATAAAAAAATAATCCTGCTGTATATATAAAACCCAGCAAAAATAGACAATTTATTTTGATTTTGATTAAAATTTAATTGTTTCTAAAAAATTTAAAATTTACCTGCTTTTTTAAATGTAAGAATGTAAGAACTTTTTTTTTTTATTCTTAACCGCACCTAAATTTCCAATTTTGCAGTTTTCAGAAGTTTTGTTATTTGATTGAAAAGCGTTTCAATAATATAAAAGCATTCAAGGCCAAACTTATTTAATTGTAACAGCTTGCTAAAACATTTACCTTTTTTTTTTCCACGAACTTTTGTTTATCTTTTTAAATATATTAACTTTAATTATTCTTATATTAAAATTCGTTAAAGAGACTTTCATTTTCATAGAATGTCATCCTTTATAAAAACAAAACATTTTTTTTTTTTAATAACGTTTATTATAGAAATGCACACTTAAACAATTTATATATTATAAATTAAAAAAATATATGCAACTTTCAATAATATTAAAAAAAAAATCCATTATCAGTAAATTGTTACTTTATTTAAAAGCATTTCGCTAATATAAAAATAATTGGTTAAGAAGTTTTGATGTAATTAGTTTCACTTTTTCAAGATATTTTTCATTTAACGCGTTTTTAAAATGTTTTTTGAAATAGCCGCGGTTAAATCGTCATAGCAAAATGTAAATTGTCTGGTCATATAAAGGCATGCATCTTCCTGTGAAAGACTGTATCTATATAAGTATATGTATATATATATATATATATATATATATATATATATATATATATATATATATATATATATATATATTTATGTATATATATACATATATATATATATATATATATATATATATATATATATATATATATATATATATATATATATATATATATACATATTTATATATATATACATATATATATATATATATATATATTTATATATATATATATGTATATATATATATATATATATATATATATATATATATATATATATATATATATATATATATATATATATATATATATACACTCCCAAAATGATTTCTTGCTGGTCGTGTTGGGCCGGTTGAATAAAAATCAGAGTTTTGGAAAACAATGTTTTACAAATAATTATGGTTTAATTTGAATAATTTTTATTACTAAAATTTCATAAAAGCATTTAGATTTTAAATGAATCACAGTTTTTAAAAGTGTAGATTTGCTTAAGAAGTTTTGAGCTAATTCGACCTTTTAAAAAATGCTTATTCAAATAAGCGTTTAAAATAGTTTTATAGTTTACAACATCCTATTTTAATTTGCTTTGTTAACAAATATATGGAGTAAACTATATCATTTTTTTTTTGCTTCACTTATTCAAATTATTTTTATTTTACTAAAATTGTAAAATAAAAATAATTTTAATCAGTGAAGCAAAAAAAAAAAAAAAAGTGCTTGTTATTTAAACATTAGCAAGTAATTTGAACATTAGTTATTGGAACATTAGTAATTTGAATGTTAGTTATTGCAAGTTTAAAAAGATTTAAAAAATGCATTGATTTTTTTTTTTAATTATTATTTTTAAATAATAACAAGTTCGTTTAATCATTGAGTTATTTTTATGTTTTTAGTTTCAGTCATGAAAAACTACTATTACTCAGATGAAATTTTAAAATCAAAAGTAAAAGTTTTGACTGCCCGAAAAAAACAATTGACTGTCAAATCCATGTGTTAGCCAGTGGAACTAAATATTTCTAAAAGCTTCTTGTACAAGAAACAAAAATCAGACTTTCTTAGGAGACGCGTGCGGTTGCACGCCTTGAATGACCACGCATATATATTTTTTTGTTGATAACTTGGCCGCAATTTTTTTGCATCTATTAAAAATTATGCATTTTAATAACGCATTGAAAAACAAAACTAGTTTTTTATATTATTTTAATTTTCTTAATAATACTTTATTATTGTAGTTATTAATGAGAAAATAAAAACATTAAAATAAAATATATATGGGCAATTCCATTTTTAACTTACGTTACACGGGCAACAACTTTATCAAATATTTGCTTATTTAAACTTTAAATTAAACTTTCAGCTATTTTGTATAAAAGCTGTTAGTTTAATAAATAAAATAATCTTAAAAGTTTCAAGTTTGGCCAAAAGAGAGCAAACTTAGTACTGAAAATGCCACTTACACTTATGTTACACGGAAAACAAGGTAAAAAAATTGCTTCAATTTTTAGGTCTGATTTCTGTGAATCAGTAAAGTAGTTTGAATAAGAAACTTTCACAAAATGCTGAGAATTCTATTCCAATTTTAAAATTTTGTTAAAAAATCAGAGTTGATCGGCTAAGGAAAATAAACTTGTTTTTTTGATACTGTATATTTTACTTAAGTTACATCACTTACATTATTTAGCGAATCTTTTTAATTTATTATTAAGAGTTACGTAACAAAAGAATTGCGTAAGTATTGAAAACATTCATTAAAAATAATTAACAAAGAATATTTTTAAAAAATGGTGGCACTCTTCCTGAGTGATTTTTCATAACATTCATGAAAGTTATCAAACCAAAAACAGTTTTTTCGCAAGACGAAGAGCATTATTATTACTTGAGTCATTGGTTTGTCGAAGTTTTTACTTACACTTTTTTACGTTTATGCGTATTACTTTATTTTTATAAGGTTGAATTTTTAAAATGCTGCAAAGTATTCACATTTAAATCTTTTATTTACATCTTTATGTCAACCAAAATAATATTACATAAACAAATAAAAAAACAATAAAATAAATGATTTTAATGCACATAAAAAAGTTTTTTTAATTTTCCTTAAAAGTATTAGTTAAAACCTTGTCAAACCAACGGGAAGAAATAATATTAATGACATAATTTACTTTGTAAATAAAAACTTAAGGAAAAAGCGCCAGAATTTTATTAAATGACAAATTAAAAAGATATATATATATATTTATATATTATTTTTATCTTTCTATTTTGTCATTAATAAAAATTATATATGTGTATTATTGTTAGGTTTTTATTTTCTCATAAATAATTATAATGATAAATTATTAATAATAAAAAAAAACACAATAAGATGACTAATTAGTTTTCAGCGCGTTTTTAAAATGCGTCATTTCTAATATATGCAAAAAAATCGTGGCCAAGTTATCAACAAAAAAATATATGCGTGGTCATTCAAGACGTGCGACCTCACGCATTTCTTGAGAAGGTCTGAAAATGGATGATAGAAACCAAAGTAAAAAAAAGTACCAAATAATTCTATTATATTGACCACTAACATTTTGAGTAATTTATTTAAATAAATGTATTCAAAGAATAGTTATTTATATGTTTACAGAGAAATACTATAATAATAAAGTATGCAGAATAAGTACAAAAGGTCAATAATTTATGCAGAATAAGTACAATGAGGTCAATAATTAATGCAGAATAAGTACAATAAAGTCAATAATTAATGCAGAATAATAACAATAAGGTGAATAATTATTGCAGAATAAGTACAATAAGGTCAATAATTAATGCAGAATAAGTACAATAAAGTCAATAATTAATGCAGAATAAGGTCAATAATTAATTTATACTAATTTAAAAATTTATACTAGTTTAGCAGTTTTTACTTTTTATCAAGTGACTTGTGAGCCTTTTGAACGATGTTCTATACATTAACATTTACTTCAGGGTTGTTGCCAAGCTTGAGCCTCTGTCCCATAGTTGTAACATTGCACCTCTTTCTACGTGGCAATACAATACAAATTAAATTTTAATTTGACATATTTATAAACAAAGTTTGTATTTTGTTTGGAGTTTGTAATATACCTTAATCATGATTAACTTAAATTCTTGATCATTTCAGCTTGATCAAATTTCAATTAATCTTTAGAGATTTTGAGTATATTAGTGGTTGTAAATATTTTATTATAAGCAAGTAATCCATGCAATGCAAGAATACGAAATTTTGTTGTGGTGACTTTTTCTTGTTGTTAATACAATTTTTACGAAATATAAAAATCTGTGTCTTAATTAAATTTTATTTTTTAGAAATTTCTTCTTGACAAAGGTTATTTAAAAACAACTCAATCTGAAGTTGGTCAGTTACAGCAGAGAGACATAAGTGGAGCCATAAAAAGACTTCAAAGGTAAATTACCTATGGTAGTAATAATTTTAAATAAAGTTTATATGTATATATATATATATATATATATATATATATATATATATATATATATATATATATATATATATATATATATACACACACATATATATATATATATATATATATATATATATATATATATATATATATATATATATATATATATATATATATATATATGTACATATATATATATATATGTACATATATATATATATATACATATACATGTATATATACATATACATGTATATATACATATACATATACATATACATATATATATATATATATATATATACATATATATATATATATATATATATATATATATATATATATATATATATATATATATATATATATATATATATATATATATATATATATATATATATATACCCTGGTGGTAGTAGGTTCAAACCAAAAAAAATGTCCTAGGGTTTTGTGATCCGTACTGACCTCTACTTTCAAAAATAAACACTATAGAAAAAAAATTTCAGGGTCCAAAAAAAAGTTTTTTTTTTGTAAACAAACAAAAGACCAGTATTTTTCCTTATATGTACAATAAATATTTTATTTGATTGTGAATTATTCCAAGACTATTACATATTTTTAAAGCTTTAAAATGTTCACAATAGACAGATATTTGATGGGAATATGTTCTTATATCAATTATGGTTACTAAGTTATTGAACAAACATTTCAAATAATTTTATTTCTTAATGTTAAAAACAATTCTAATGCATTGATCAAGCTCAATATCTTTATAAGGAGGTTTAAAAATGATGGAATATTTATATTTTAAATAGCTATTTAATTATTTCCTATGAGAAATAAAACCATATTGAGACTTTGATATTTACCATATTAATATTTAAATACATATGAATTATAAATATAAAATTAAAAATATGTTTAAGTCTTTTAAAAACATAAATGTCTCCTTTAAAATTAAATCTAGAGTTGTGCCTGTTACCTATTTTCAGGAATTATCTTTTTCCGGATATTTCTGGAATTCCGGATATTTTTTAAATTTTTTATATTTTCCGGATGATTAAATAGTTTTTGAAAATACAATTTATAAAATTTTTTCTGTTTATTACTGTCATCTAATGAAACAGTAACAAGTATATATAAACAGTAAATTTGCTGTCCATAAATTACGGAACGCTATATTTAGTTAACAAACAAAGCCAAAAAAATTTAAAAGATTTCCCTCGCAGAGTAAACCAAAAATTAATAAGCATTTTAATTAAAGTTTAATAAAAATCTTAACGCAAAAGAGCGAATGATTTCCTACTTTTAAAATAAAATTACCGATGCGTGTCAAACTCTTCTCTTTTTTAAAAAAAATTTTTTTTTTTTAAAAAAGAGAAGAGTTTGACACGCATTTTTTGAGTTTTTTGAGATTTCTTTTTTTATTGTTTTAAAACTTTTTTTTTTAAGTAAATCACTTCGCTTATGGACTGAAACTTTTCTCAGTTTGTTTGTCGGTGGTTCAAAATTTACTGCATCATTATTTCGTTGTCTTTAGTTATTTCTGTCCAGTCATACCATTGCAAGTCTCTTTTCGTACACACTTCTTGAAAGTATCATTTTTTCGCATAATTTCTTATTAATTGGAGACTTTAAAAAGTTTTGACGATGGTATTTAAAAAGTTATGACGACGGTAGAATAAACGGTACTCGCAAATAAAAATTCTGTTACAAAAGCTATGAGAGAAATCAGATTTTAATTTTCGTCAAATATGAGAAATATCGTTAAACTCTTTTGAGATTAGTAAAATCAAATTCTAGAGAGCAGTTAAACAAATAGTTCGATCTAAAAATAAGAAATTTGGTATGACCTTCAACTAGTAGAAACTTCTATTAATCTTACAGTTACTGTAATACCGTGGTGTAACCTTATGGTTGTGCGGTACAACTTGTTTTCGTAAAGGGTGAAAAAAACTTATAAAAAAAACTTATTATTACTGACTAAGATTAATTACTTTGTTAGTAATAAGTTATTACATACAAAAAAGTGTTATATAATAAAACTTCTAAACTATAAGGATTTTATTCTATGTAGTTATTTTAAAGAAATCTAAACATGTACTTTGACTAAACGTCAAGTAAATCAAATTGCTTTTAAGTGCCTTTATTAGGTTTTTAAAAACATTGCATTTTGAGGCACGTTTTCTTTTCAATTCAAAAAGCGCGTGTCAAAATTAATTATATTTTCTTTCAATTAAAAAAAAAAATCATTTTTTTAAATCTTTTAAATTTGGAATCACATGAATGAGCACATGAATCATTAATAATGCCTCACCTTTTGTTAATCATAGTTAAAATAAATTTAAAATTTTTATTTAAACTTTATCTTACGAACGTTTAAACTTTTTAATTTTTGAATGTGGAAATTTTTTTATAAAAGAAGACTTTGTATTGTAAATTAAGTTTAAAACATTTTAAACACTGAGTGGAAGAACTAATTGTAGAAAACTAACTGATTACAGAAAAATAATTCAATATCTTTTTACTTTTTATTTATTTCATTTCTTTTTTAACATATTTATTACTAAAGATTTCTAATTTTTTGTATTTTAGAAGTCTGGTGTTTTATTACTATTATTATTTCCTTAGTTAAAATAAAATTCATTTATATTTCCCAAAAGTTGGTGTTGTACAGATAATAAAATGTTTACTGAAAAAAGTTGGCAAGCAAAAGTGTTGGATATATGTTGGTTCATTTTGTAAAATTACTACAAAAAAAACCAAAACGCCCGTGGGATTTCAGTTATGGTGGCGCCTCTGATCTGTAACAATACGTTAAACGTTTATCTATTTGTATATCTTTGGTGAATTGAAGCAATATTTCATTATCCATTATGTATTTAATTGTATAAGTGCATGTCTAAAAAAGCTTCCGCATTGTTTAACAGCTTTTAAATATAGTTTTCTACTTCTTTTTTGACATCTTATTATTATTATTATTATTATTGTTAAAATTTTATCATTATTATTCTTTTTTGATGAAAAAACTATGTAATTTTTTATTCATATATACGGATATTTTTAAACTGGTGTAATATTATAGTAATATAAAAGAATGACGGAGAGCACGCCCCCTCCCCCCTTGTTAACATCTCTTTGTAAATTCCAGATTTTTTCCAGATATTACAAAAAAATTTTCTGGATATTTAAGGAAAAAAAATTTCCGGATTTTTATAATAAGACCAGGATAATCTATGTATTATAAACAGTAACCAATCTCAGCAGTTTTGATTGAAACAGTTTGTAACAACTTGGAACTTTGCATCCTTGTTCATAAAACTATTTGAAGTCACAATGAACAGATTCAGAAGCCTCTTTTGAGCAAAAACCATGGCCTTTTCCAGGGTATTTGTCAGCCATTGATTCCAAAAGAGCTGGTATACGAATGACTATAGCATGTACTTTTGGGGATTCTTTTTTGTTCAATGCCATATATGCTTCCTTGTAGGCATTGATTTAGTTCTTGTAAGATATGTTTAGAGTTAGACCAAAGCAAGTTTTCTTCACACTATTTAGTGCTTTTATTGCATGCATAAGCATTTTCAATTCATCAGTTACAACTTCAAACTTGGATTTGAGAATTTTGTCTAATGTTTCTATGTTATCTAATAGCTTTGAACACTGTCCTACCTTGAACTGGCCGCTGTGTAATCTTGGCCTTATAAATCCAATTGCTTTATTCCACATATCCATGGAAATTGATGTTTCTGTTTTTAGTATACAGTATTTTAATAGACAATATTTTGTTACCTATGTTTGTGTTTCCAGAAAATAAATAAAGTTTTGTTACCTAAGTTTGTGTTTCCAGAAAATAAATAAAGCTCCATTGGAGGAAGGATTTCTGCAACAGATATACCATTTAGCAGGTCTAGCAAAGGAGTTTGGACACAATTCTTGAATGATGCAGCCTAGAATTCCAGAATGATGTTTTGACTGTACAAAAAAAGATAAATTTTATAATACCAAACTAATTCCAAAATATCTTATGCGGCTACAGATTGTGAAATCCTGCATGTCTTGTTTTGACAGTCCACACCAACTGCAGGGGTGAATAGACGAAGCTGCTTCAATGCCAAATTAAATATTCGCAAGTTTTAAATCAAATGCTAAAAAATACTTCTTAGTCGAAATCCCCAATAGTTCTATGATTTGCTTAATGTTTTGGTGTTTCTCTTTAACATCTTCAACAATGGTCAGAATGATAAGTTTCTTAACTCCTCTGTCCTTGAATTTGTCTTGCATTATTCCCTCTATAAGAAAACTTGGCTTTAGGTTCATTCACTTCACAATAAAGAATATTCAAACAAACCTTTAAAAATCCACCTCCGCCATCTATTCCAATCTTTACAATATAATCTGGGGATATTTTTCATTTTTCCACTAGTCCATTTATTAGCTCAGGCACATTTGTACAGTAAACTAAATAATTTGTTTGCATATTGATTTAAAGTTCTGCAACGATTTAGAACACAGTCTTGAAACACAAGTTTTTCTTTTAGATTGGGTTCAAAAAACTTTCTCCCTTTCCAGCTCCTAAAAACACTACAAGCAGTTTCTGTTTGAGAGTTGCTCAACCCTAGTATATTTTTGAATCTTGTTACTTCACTAACTGGTACCATGTTTTCAGGAAAAAGGGCTTTCAACTCTGTTTACTTTGGAATTTCAATATTAAAAGATTTAGACCCTTTGTTAACAAGCTTTATTGAATCATCATGCATACAATTTTAGTACAAAAAAGCTCTGTACCTATCTCATCTGAAATATATTACATTTTTACCATTAAAAATTGTATGTACCTATATAATACTATATTTCATATGGTTTTAGGTTTAATAGTTATTATATATATACATACAGACTAACCTCTAGACAATGCTGTCTCAATATTATCCCTGCAAATCGAAATATTGCAGGGGTGAGGTAAACTGTGTCTGACTGTA